GTATGGGTACTGGGCTATAATAATCTTAATTGAAAATCGAATTTTGTTACCTGATACACAATTCGTTGCAACTGTGGACGAAGTTGATAAAAATGCTGTAGCAATGACGACTCTTCAATTTCCTCGGGTACCTCACTAGCAACTTCTTCTATTTTGTCCATCCATCTAGAATTCTCAGATAATGTTGTTTGGCCTAAACAATAAATTAAAAAGGTTATACTTGGAAGTAATTATTTTGCGGTTGCCACAGAAGCACATCATATTGCTTTAACAAGCTCTTCTTTGGTTTTGTTTTGGTTGTACTTTTTGTCATTTTATACGGTAAGTATTTTTTCATATTTTAATCGTTTTCTGATTAAAAAACCTGCTGACCAGGTTTGAGCTCTGTAAACAGCCTGCTAGAACGTAGACAACCATCTATACCACCTCCTGCCTAGTGTCTAGAAATGTTAACCTCGTCAAGTATCCTGGCTAAACGTTTTGGTGAACATATAATTTGCTGACAATGATTGTACAACTACAATACTAGTGTTTTCTTCAAGAGCTAAGACAATTGTTGTAAACTACTACTAGTTGCCCGTCAACAATTATGATAATACTTATTATTAAATATTAACAATTAGACATTTTCAAAGCTAGTTCTAGACTAATAATTACCCAAAACAAATTTCGATACAGTATAATATGTTTAATCAATTACTAATAGTTTAGATATAGGCATATATAAGTTACAATTACGGACAGTAATCATATAGCCGTTCTGTGGTTTTTTTCTTTCTATCATTCACTAGACAATATGTGCTTATTTTGGTTAATTTTTATGATGGAAATATGCTCCAGTTGTACTAAATCCACCCCAATACGGACAACAAATATTTGGACCCCAAAAAAAAATCGATTTTGAAGACAACAACCCATTAAATCATACTCAGTATGGTTTCTGAAAACAGTGTTCAAAGCTTTATGGGACAAATAGGGTACTGGTTAGTCAGACTCTATACAAAGTTCAGGAGTGCGTCTGATACATAAACAAACTTATATAATGACTGGTTCATCAGAAATCTATTTTCACTTATTTTATTTCTCTTTTTCAATCGAAATTGACAAGTAAATGACTAAAGCTCCAACACCATTTACATTAGCGCAGGTGCTCCTCAAGATTACAAGATTGGTCTTATTCTCTACATGTTTTTAATACATTACATAAACAGTCTGACAGCATAATTTGTAGCATTTCAATACACGCTTACGAAAAGTTTATCTGTATATATATATATGGGTGCACACAAAAGTCAGCACTATGCAAATATTCGCAATTACAAACCGTTTTTTACTGTAGATCTAGAGAGTAACATTCAATGTTAAAACACGTGGGTTTCCATCAGCCGATCTATTAACGTGGCATTATCACAGCTAAATGAGCTTTCATGCATCAAATTGCTATCATCGTCATCATCTGCTACGCTGTTTCTTTTTAGGGTAGACTTTGCGTATGGTAATTACTTCCGTGATTCTAAGTGGTCGTATGGTATGCCATTATTTTTTCAATAGATGGTTTATTACCCATGCTGTTGTTGGCCTGGAGACCTGTCTTCTGACTTTCCTAAATAATTCTGACTTTCCTAAATAATTCATTTAACGCCACTTGGGTAACTATCGGTAGCCTAAGCGTGAACACTGTACATTTGAACCTTCTTCTATTCACCAGTTTTGACATTTATTCTCTACATGCTGCTATAAGGCGCTGTATTTCTGTTTTCACCGGACCTGTCTTTCTTCTGGCATTTCTAAATAAAATTAATTTAACGCCACATTAGATTGGCCATCTACAAGTAGCCTTAGCATGAATTCTGTATATCTAAACCTTCTTCACTTAACCTTAATCTTTTTTCTCCTACATTCGGCTATAAAGCTCTGTATTTCTGATTGTATATGTCCTCTAAAATCTGGATAATTTTCTCTAGTTCTATATCTTCTTGTTTAACGGTGAGAACTTACTAGGGCTTTTTATTTTTGAGGAATATTGAAAACAAAACGTACTTCGCAGATACTCACACTATCACTATCACATATGTATATAGCGCCTTTCTTTTCATATAAAAAGCGCTAGTATCCGTGTTGCATCTCATATATCCAACAGTACGTAGGACCTATACGCAACTTGTTAAGCATAAGCAGAAAAAACATTCACAAATTAAATAGTTGTGAAAACTTTTAAAGAAATTATTATTTAAAAAAAAGACCGAATGATGAAAACAACAACAACGTCTTATTGAAGAAGCAGAAGGAGGTTGTTCCACGTAAGTGGAACAACAAAACGAAAAAGACTTGTCGTCAATACATTTCTTTAGCAGGATTGGCTGATGGAATTGTATCAAAGGTGAAGATGTCCTTTTTACGCTCTTTTAAGGAGTCAGAGATGTAATCAGGACACATATTACAAAATGACTTAAATGCATAACAGGAGTACCTTCAATTTGACTCTCTGCTTAACAGACAATCAGTGAAGTTCATGAAGTAGAGGTGAATTGCGGGTACTAAAAAATCTGATATTGTAAATGAAACGTGCTAATGAGGTCTGGATCTTCTGGATTTTTTCAGCATCGGTCTATGTCAACTCTGTTTATAAAGAGTTGCGCGGTAGTAAATTCTCAAAAGAACGAATTTACAAACGGCAGCATGCCAGGTATCATTATTAATGGATTTTCCACATACTCCACAAGGGTCCTCCTCCAAGGGACAAAGAACACATGATCAAGCTCTAAATGTCGCTTAGATGCGCGGTCTTTCATAGACAGAAACAGAGACAAATGAATTAAGCATACAGATGGGTTTTAAGTGATTGTTTTGAAAATATTAGAAATGTACTTAAGACCATGAGGAAGATTATTCCAGAGTTGGGCAGCATAAACTAAATATGATAAACTACCGATGTTCTTATTACAATGTGGTACAATGTAGTGAAGTGAAGAGGAGGATCGATATGATTGAAACCAATTCAAAGTTAATTGTTCCGATACTCAGGAAGAAGAAGTAACTTTGGCATATCGTCAAAACGTTGTTTGTCTTAGTTAACATTATCGTTACACCATTGCACCATGAGCTATTTCAGCTTATGACAACTCATAACAAATTTTCCAGAAACACTTAATTTACTGTGTCATTAATTGCCTTTTCCAAAAATTCGAAACCTCTACTTTTTTTAGTCGTTTATCCAAGGGCGTTTAAGAGTTACAGTTACAAGTCGTTGGTTAGCATCCATCCCTCTACAATATACCTTTCCGGAATGTCAATCAAACTTAACAACTGACTAATCAGAACGGCGCTAAGAATACGCTCGCGTATAACAAACACACGTGTTCTCCCACAAACGCCAGTGTTCACGTATGTTTTTACACTGTCGTCTTGTGGGACCTTAGCAACAATATTTGATATTGATGTTAAAGCCCCATTCCCGGCAAAATTTCACTAAAAATGACTTTTTTTTAGAAAATATGCATTTGCATTACTCCAATTATTATAAATCATGGAAAAATATTGGCATGAATTTTAGTTTTACGCAAAAGAATAAAATAAATGAGAAATACAGACTATTTCTCATAAAATATTACCATTTTCTCGACGAATTCATCGTTACTAGGCAAATTCAGAGGTTGTAGATCGCATCCACTGGAATACTCTCGCTTTTATGTATACTTTATACAGTCAATAAAGTGCGCCCTCTCTAATGAGATTAATTTTTGTACTTCCTACCCAAGACGAGACTTTTTTTTATACCTTGTTTGACGA